AGGCACGAATCACTATCCTCCAGAATTCTGTGTTAGGCTCCTAGGTTTCTAAGTCCTGTACTGCTGCCGGAAATTTTCAGATGTTACATAGGCATGATAGAGCAGAAAGAGCTTGGACCCAGAGCCACAAAACTTGAGTATGAGCCCAGCTCCATGGCATGCAATGTGTGGGAACTTGGGATCCTGAACTCTTGTGAATCTCAGTTTTCTCTTCTCTAAAATGGTAATAATTATAGTGATGCCGGCTCCTCCTCACCCACGGCACTGTTCTGAGGATCACAAGAACAAGGGCATGTGAGAGTGCTTTGTAAATTGTAAAGTGCCATACAAATATGAGTTATTATTATTTCCAGCTGGAGCTGTCTGGGACTACTTCAATGAGAGCACTATAAATGATTGATAAGACTTTATGTGGTATTTGTGCTTTAAGGGGGAACAAGTTTTAAGTCAAACAACTGAAACTCTGGTATGGAACGCTGGTTGCAGCACTCTAGACAGAGGGATTTGGCCAAGTGATTGGAGGTTGGGCCCAAATCCAAAATACCAGTCAGCTTAACTTAGATTCCAGGGTTAGGAATTGCTATTAAATGTTGATTCCTGTCTAATTATTTATTGAATAGATCAAAGAATGTAATAACACTAGCAAATATTTATTTGTATGCTTACCTTGTATCAGGCATCATTCTAAGTGTTTTATATGTACATATTATTCAATCCTTACAAAAATCCATTGAGATGAATATCTGTATGGGGAATATGACTATCCCCATTTTCCAAATGAGGAAAATAAGGCTCAGAGAAGTTAAGAAACTTTTCTTGGGACCGGCCCGGTGGTGCACTGCTACAGTGCGCCGCTTGGGAGCGTGGCAGCGCTCCCGCCAAGGGTTCGGATCCCACATACAGACCGGCCGCTCACTGGCTGAGCGAGGTGCGGGCGCAACACCAAGGGTTGCGATCCCGTTGCCGGTCCTGGTCCGGTACGGGCGTGACACTGAGGGTTGTGATCCGTTGCCGGACACGAAAAAGACAAAAAAAAAAAAAAAAGAAAAAAGAAACTTTTCTTGAGTCACACAGCTAATAAGAGGTAGAGCCTGAATTTGAATGAAGTCACTCTGACCCCAGAGCCAGAAGGAACAAGGAAGGAATAAAAGGAGGGAGGAAAAATGGAAAGGAAAGGAAAGGAAAGGAAGGGAAGGGAAGAGAAGGGAAGGGAAGGGAGGAAGGAGGAAGGAAAGAAGGAAGGAAGGAAGGCAGACTGACTATATACTGAGTATTCTCCAGATACATTATTCTGAGACCTGGGGAAGGGAACTGGACAGAGATCCAGAACCAAATAATCTTCAAATAAAACAATAATCTTCACATGTCCTGAGTGAGTCAAAGAAAGGTCTCTAGGCCTATTTTTGCCCATCAGGTAGGGCATGTTTACCTTCACATCTGTGAACTCTAATGGAGCCACTACCACTGTGATGGAAATATAAAAGGGGTGCTGTGGAAACGCAGAGGAAGGTGTACTAGTTCATTTCTGTTGCTTATAACAAAACACCTGGAACTAGATAATGTATAAGAAAATGAAATTTATTGCTTACTGTTTCAGAGGCTGAGAAGTCCAAAGTCCAGGGAACACATCAGGGAACACAAAGTTCAGGGAACACTACAGCAATGCAGAGTGTTGCATGGTGAGAGTGGTGGAGCAGAGAGAGAGACTAACCTCCTCATTCACTCTTATTTTAAAAAGTTTATTTATTAATATTATTATTCTTTTATATTCTAAGATGTTGTTGCAGAGCAGTTGCAGGGAGGGGGAAAGGGGAAGGAGGATGGAAATAGGGTGGAAGAAAGAGGAAGGAGGTGAGGGTATGGTTGAGGCCCATGGCATTCTTCTCATTCCTGCAGAGGAGACCAGGGTGCTTCCAGTGGTGGCTCAGTTGTTGCTGGGCTGGATACAGATGTCAGAGGGGTGTGGCGGAAGCCCTTGGCCCTCCACTGGCACTTCCTGAGGTGGTCTGGTGGGTAGTCCCTGGGCTGGTTGTAGGCATTGGGGGGGCAAGGCCAAGGCCCTGGGCCTCCCACTGCCCCAGCTTAGAAGCCTGGGGTGCTTTCTGTAGTGGCTTGGTGGTTGTCACTGGGCTGGTTGCAGGTGTTAGGGGCATGGCTGAGGCCCCTGGCCCTCCCCGTTCCCTGGCTTGGGAGCCAGGAGGCTTCTAGTCCTTCTAGGTTTTTTTTTTTTTTTTTTTTGTCTTTTTTCGTGACCGGCAACGGATCGCAACCCTCAGTGTTGCGTGCCCGTACTGGACCGGGACCGGCAATGGGATCGCAACTCTCGGTGTTGCACCCGCACCTCGCTCAGCCAGTGAGCGGCCGGTCTGTA